AGACACTCTAATGTATTTGTCCTCTTGCTCAGTTGTGCACCGGGGGCCTCCCACTTAGCAAACACAAAGTGCCATTGGAACACAGGACTGATGGTTGCTGATAATTGGCCTCTGTACGCCTATGTAGATACTCCATAAAAAATCAGCCATTTCCAGCTACAATAGCCATTTACAACATTAACAATGTCTACACTGTATTTCTGATCTATTTTATTTTATTTTAATGGACAAATACATTTATTTTTTCGAAAACAAGGACATTTCTAAGTGACCCCAAACTTATGAACGGTAGTGTATATGGATCTCACTTTATAGTCCCAAGAATAAGAAACTCAAGGCATGTACAGTGCAATGTTTTTATTCAGTAGATAGAAATGGACCAACAGAAGAAGAAGAAGTATTAGAATGAATCATGTTTTCCTTCTCTGGGTGGTATGGTGGGAGGGAGGGAGGGAGGGAGGGTGGGTGGGAGGGAGGGAGGGAGGGTTTAATATTTACACTTAGTACTCTTATGTGTTTGATTCTAGAACTCCTGAGAAGTTGAATCTTGAACATGAACTCAGTCATTTAAAGGAGGGAAAAAACTGAAAAAAACGATGATCACAAAAATGTAAATTATTATTACTTTTGCTTGAGCTTTACATCATGTGATTATCTTGATTATGTATCAATATCAAGTACACTACATCACCAAAAGTATGAACATCTCATTCCAAAATCATGGCATTAATATGGAGTTGGTCCCCCCTTTGCTGCTATAACAGCCTCCACTCTTCTGGGAAGGCTTTCCACTAGATGTTGGAACATTGCTGCGGGGACTTGCTTCCATTCAGCCACAAGAGCATTAGTGAGGTCGGGCACTGATGTTGGGTGCTTAGGCTTGGCTCCCAGTCAGCGTTCCAATTCATCGCGAAGGTGTTCAATTAGGGTTGAGGTCAGGGCTCTGTGCAGGCAAGTCAAGTTCTTCCACACCGATCTCGACAAACCATTTCTGTATCGACATCGCTTTGTGCAAGGGGGCATTGTCATTCTTCTCCAAACTGTTGCCACAAAGTTGGAAGCACAGAATCGTCTAGAATTGTCTGTAGCGTTAAGATTTCCCTTCACTGGAACTAAGGGGCCTAGCCCAAACCATGAAAAACAGCCCCAGACCATTATTCCTCCTCCACCAAACTTTACAGTTGGCACTATGCATTGGGGCTGGTAGCGTTCTCCTGGCATCCGCCAAACCCAGATTTGACCGCTGTACTGCCAGATGGTGAAGCGTGATTCATCACTCCAGAGAACACATTTCCTCTGCTCCAGAGTCCAATGGCGGCGAGCTTTATACCATTCCAGCCAACGCTTGGCATTGCTCATGGTGATCTTAGGCTTGTGTGCAGCTGCTCAGCCATGGAAACCCATTTCATGAAGCTCCCGACGAACAGTACCTGTGCTGACATTGCTTCCAGAGGCAGTTTAGAACTTGGTAGTGAGTGTTGCAACTGAGGTCAAACGAGTTTTATGCACTTCAGTGCTCGGTGGTCCCGTTCTGTGAACTTGTGTGGCCTACCACTTCGTGGCTGAGCCGTTGTTGCTCCGAGACGTTTCCACTTCACAATAACAGCACTTACAGTTGACCGTGGCAGCTCTAGCAGGGCAGAAATTTGACAAACTGACTAGTTGGAAAGGTGGCATCCTATGACTGTGCCATGTTGAAAGTCACTGAGCTCTTCAGGAAGTCCATTCTACTGCCAATGTTTGTCTATCGAGATTGCATGGCTATGTGCTCGATTTTATACACCTGTCAGCAATGGGTGTGTCTGAAATAGCCAAATCCACTAATTTGAATGGGTGTCCACATACTTTTGTATATATAGTGTAGATATACTAAATGAACAATAAAGATAATTGACTTCATTGTTTGAGACTTTTTGTAAAACTTTTATAGATTTCTTAATGAATTGAATGATGAAATTAATGACATGACAATGTATTATTTATATCACCAAAAACATTTTGATATAGGTAAACATTTCTCAATAAAAATTACAACACTAGTTTGTTGTTTTTATAAATCACAGCTTCAGGTCCATTCCAGCCCCAAGATCAATGATATAAAGAATGATAGAAAAATAACTTGAGTACTTTCAATGAAATTATGGGCAGAATCGAATAGGATGGCTGATTCATCACAAAACCATTTGATGTTGCCAATTATGTTATTGATTCCTTCATTGGCAAAGTGGGCAAACTTAAGATGGAAATGCCAACAACGAATAGCAAGCCATCGTACTCATGCATTAAAAAAAATATATATGAAAGAAAAGTATTGCAAGTTAGAATTTTGTAAAGTTAGTGTAGGAGAGGTGGAAAAATTATTGTTATCGATCAATGATGACAAACTTCCTGGCATTGACAACTTATATGGAAAGCTACTGAGGATGGTAGCTGACTCTATAGCCACTCCTATCTGTCATATCTTTAATCTGAGCCTAGAGGAAAGTCTTTGTCCTCAGGCCTGGAGGGAAGCTAAAGTCATTCCGCTACCCAAGAATGGTAAAGCCAGCCTTTACTGGTTCTAACAGCAGACATGTCAGCTTGCTGCCAGCTCTTAGCCAACTGTTGGAAAAAATGGTGTTTGACCAAATACAATGCTATTTCTCTGTAAACAAATTAACAACAGACTTTCAGCATGCTTATAGAGAAGGGCACTCAACATGTACTGCACTGACACAAATTACTGATGATCAGTTGAAAGAAATTGATAAGAAGATTGTGGGAGCTGTACTGTTAGATTTCAGTGCAGCCTTTGACATTATTGACCATAACCTGTTGTTGAGAAAACTTATGTTATGGCTTTTCAACCTCTGCCATATTGTGGATTCAGAGCTATCTATCTAATAGAACTCAGAGGGTTTTCTTTAATGGAAGCTTCTCTAATGCCAAACATGTAAAGTGTGGTGTACCGCAGGGCAGATCTCTAGGCCCTCTACTCTTTTCTTTTTTTTTTACCAATGACCTGCCACTGGCATTAAACAAAGCATGTGTGTCCATGTATGCTGATGATTCAACCATATACGCATCAGCAACCACAGCTAATGAAGTCACTGACACCCTTAAAAGAGTTGCAGTCTGTTTTAGAATGGGTGGCCAGTAAAAAACTGGTCCTGAAAATCTCGAAATCTAAGAGCATTGTATTTGGTAGAAATCATTCCCTAAGCTCTAGTAAGCTCTAGACCTCAGCTGAATTTGGTAATGAATGGTGTGGCTGTTGAACAAGTTGAGACTAAATTACTTGGTGTTACCTTAGATTGTAAATTGTCATGGTCAAAACATATAGAATCAATGGTTGTAAAGACAGGGAGAGGTCTGTCCATAATAAAGAGATGCTCTGCTTTTCTGACACCACACTCCAAAAAGCAAGTTCTGCAGGCTCTAGTTTTGTCTTATCTTGATTATTGTCCAGTCGTGTGGTCGAGTGCTGCAAGGAAAGACCTAGTTAAGCTGCAGCTGCCCCAGAACAGAGCGACATGTCTTGCTCTTCATTGTAATCAGAGGGCTGATATAAATACTATGCATGCCAGTCTCTCTTGGCTAAGAGTTGAGGAGAGACTGACTGCATCACTTCTTCTTTTTATAAGAAACATTAATGTGTTGAAAATCCCAAATTGTTTGCATAGTCAACTTACACACAGCTCTGACACACACACTTACCCCACCAGACATGCCACCAGGAGTCTTTTCACAGTCCCCAAATTCAGAACAAATTCAAGAAAGTGTACAGTATTATATAGAGCCATTATTGCATGGAACTCTGTTCCATCTCATGTTACTCAAATGAACAGCAAACCTAGTTTTAAAAAACAGATAAAGCAACACCTCACGGCACAAAGCCTCTCCCCTATTTGACCTAGATAGTTTGTGTGTATGTATTGATATGTAGGCTTGGTGTCCCATTTCTTTTATTGTTGTAGTTCTGTCCTTGAGCTGTTCTTGTCTGTTAATGTTCTGTATTATGTCATGTTTCATGTTTTGTGTGGACCCCAGGAAGAGTAGCTGCTGCTTTTGCAACAGCTAATGGGGATCCTAATAAAATACCCAAATACCCAATATTTAGCTGATATGGAAAAGATGAAATCAGAATCATTTTGCTGATATAGAAAAAATGAAGCCAGAATAATTTTTGGGATCATCAGGAGAGATCTTGTCTCAGAAATAAAACATAATATAATTTCTCTGTAATTGTGTCTATAAAGTGGACTCTGATGCTGATTACTGTCAAGCGACTCCGTGTATACAGGATGTACAAGGAGTACATAACCCAGGTGACTCCAAAGATTCTGTGATTCAGTGTTGTCATGGTCACCATGTCAGCTGAGAACACACAAAACATCACACTTTTACCAGTTTTCCTCTCCATAAAAACGTAATTGTCCCATACTTTCTACAGTTACCACCTTAGACTCATGAAATGATAGATAAACACCTTGTACTGTGTCAGTGTGGAAACTAAACTGTCTGTGTGGAAACTAAACTGTCTGGGTGGAAACTGAACTGTCTGTGTGGAAACTAAACTGTCTGTGTGGAAACTGAACTGTCTGTGTGGAAACTAAACTGTCTGTGTGGAAACTAAACTGTCTGTGTGGACAACTAAACTGTCTGTGTGGAAACTAAACTGTCTGTGTGGACACTAAACTGTCTGTGTGGACACTAAACTGTCTGTGTGGAAACTAAACTGTCTGTGTGGAAACTAAACTGTCTGCGTGGAAACTGAACTGTCTGCATGGTCACTAAACTGTCTGTCTGGACACTAAACTGTCTTGTGGAAACTAAACTGTCTGTGTGGAAACTAAACTGTCTGTGTGGAAACTAAACTGTCTGTCTGGACACTAAACTGTCTGTGTGGACACTAAACTGTCTGTGTGGACACTAACTGTCTGTCTGGACACTAAACTGTCTGTGTGGAAACTAAACTCACCAATCAGGGACCTCTATATGACATCAGTGCCGTTAGACCCCGGCGTCTCGTTGGTTCTCTGCAGCCAGCGGTCTTTGTGTTGGGTGTGGCCAAAGCCCTCATCATAGTTCCCTTTCCTCCTGAACAGCTGCTGGTAGTGGAATACACAGTAAAACTCCCCATACAGCGGAGCATAGCTGTGCATGCTACACACACACACACACACACACACACACACACACACACACACACACACAACAGACAGACAGACAGACAGACAGACAGACAGATTGAGTCCCCGTTGACAATTGACTGTGGATGATGAATTTACATTCACCAAGGGTTGGGTGAATAATCAAGATGGACGATGAGTTTGATTAGTTTATACTGTTGAGCAGAGCTTACCTGAGCTTCTTCTGACAGTGCTTACAGCAGAAACAGTTCTTGTGAAATATGAATTTATCAGCAGTCATTTTCTCCATAGGATAGACTGGCTTCAGGCAGGATGAACACACGTCCTGTTGACATGGCTGGAACTGGGGGAACAGAGATGGGTGTTATTACACTACTATGAGTAGGGGGAGCAAACTTCCGGAAACTTCACCAAAATTCCCAGGTTTTAGTGAAATCCTGGTTGGAAGATTCCCGGAATCGTGAGGGAATAAACAGGGAAATCTGTAATCCTCCAACCAGGATTTCTGGAAAACAATATACTGTTTTGGAAAGTTACTGTAATTTTGCAAGATATGAGCTATTACAGCTGTATGTGAAGATGAATTAGAGAAACGCCGATTAATAATGAAGTCAAAGACTGAAAACAATGAATGGCATGAATTTAATCTTTGTTGTTCTGAGATCTGATTCCTGTTGCAGGAAGGAACAACTGTATGTGTTATCTACGGCCAAAGATGATCCAGTTGACTCCTTCTGTCTGTCTGCAGACGCCTTCTGTCTGTCTGCAGACTCCTTCTGTCACAGTGGCTTTACTCCCCCTCCAGCCCCCCTCTGCCCTCCAGCCCCCCTCTGCCCTCCAGCCCCCCTCTCCCATCCAGCTCTCTTCCCCCCTCCAGCTCTCTTCTTCCCTCCAGCCCACTTCTCCCCTCCAGCCCTCTTCTTCCTCCAGCCCTCTTCTTCCCTCCAGCCCTCTTCCACCCTCCAGCCCTCTTCCACCCTCCAGCCCTCTTCCTCCCTCCAGCCCTCTTCCCCCCTCCAGCCCTCTTCCTCCCTCCAGCCCTCTTCCCCCCTCCAGCCCTCTTCCTCCCTCCAGCCCTCTTCTTCCCTCCAGCCCTCTTCCTCCCTCCAGCCCTCTTCCCCCCTCCAGCCCCTCTTCCTCCTCAGCCATCTGCTCTCTCCAGCCCTCTCCCCCTCCAGCCCTCTTCCCCCCTCCAGCCCTCTTTTTCCCTCCAGCCCTCTTCCACCCTCCAGCCCTCTTCTTCACTCCAGCCCTCTTCTCCTCTCCAGCCCTCTTTTGTCCTCCAGCCCTCTTCTGCCTTCCAGCCCTCTTCTCCCCTCCAGCCCTCTTCCTCCCTCCAGCCCTCTTCTCCCCTCCAGCCCTCTTCTCCCCTCCAGCCCTCTTCCCCCTCCAGCCCTCTTCCTCCTCCAGCCCTCTTCTTCCTTCCAGCCCTCTTCTTCCCTCCAAAGTTCTGAAGTGCTTCTTGAAACCCTATAAAGTCTGTATTGACCTTCTCCTTTTCGTCCTCTGGGGCCCCCTGGGGTCCTGCTCCCTGGCTCTGCTCTCATGTGGTGACTTAGTGTTGCTCTCCTCCACTGACACAGAGTTAGAGCTAGTCTGTCTCTGAGGGATGACCTCATACCATTGACCTCCCTGGTTTAATGTAATTTCCTCATCGAGCTGGTTTGCATTAACAGTGTGTTGAGTTGCGTCACCTTCCCCAATGTTAGCTGTTCTGAACTCTTTATCTTTGAAGCCAGATCTACGTGTTTGACAGGTACTGTCACCATGGTGACCTCCACATTCCCCTGCTTGTCCGCCTTCAGGTAAACTACCTGAGGCTTAAGGGTTGTCCGGGGCAACAGCTGGAGTATAAAGTTCTTGAACAGCGTGGACTCAAACAGCTGAGCTCGGTTCCTAACAGTAGCTGCTAACACCAACATGTTCTCCTGGACCCTTCTGTCTGGAGCTAGATCACCTGGAGGTGAAGGGTTATTCTGGGTCTTGGTTCCTGCAGATGTGATGATATCCTGTTATGTTTATTTCTCTGAAAGGATTTGTGGGTCTAGTTTCAACGTCAACATCTGCTTTTGAAGCGCACTGTGACCTTCTCTCAAATACTTGTTTGACTGTGGAGACCCCTTTACGCTGTAGCTGGACCTCGGTATGTGCATCGTTAACGAGCCCTTTACGCTGCAGCTGGACCTCGGTATGTGCATCGTTAACGAGCCCTTTACGCTGTAGCTGGACCTCGGTATGTGCATCGTTAACGAGCCCTTTACGCTGTAGCTGGACCTCGGTATGTGCATCGTTAACGAGCCCTTTACGCTGCAGCTGGACCTCGGTATGTGCATCGTTAACGAGCCCTTTACGCTGTAGCTGGACCTCGGTATGTGCATCGTTAACGAGCCCTTTACGCTGTAGCTGGACCTCGGTATGTGCATCGTTAACACCGACACCCAGAGCTTCTCCCCCAGACTGACAACTCACCTCAAGATTTCTAAAACAAATGTGGCTTTTGAACACTCTGTACTGTCTTACTGTTTCTTGTCTCAAATGCTTGTTTTCTCTTATGAATTGCTCCCCACTTGTCTTCCGACACGATGACCTTGTTCAGGGCTACAAGGTCATCTTGGCTGGCCATCAGGGTGTTGACCTGCTGGCTCTCAAACAGCCTTTTAGCAGTCTGGACGTCCATCGTCCCCATGAGCAGCATCAGCCCTCTCCACCTGGTCCGTGGGTCCCTTAACCCTCTCCTCCTGAATGTTCTGGCTATCCCATGGCTGCTCAAACAAGGCTGATGTTCTCTTCACGTTTCCCCAAACCCCAGCCCCAACTCCAACCCCAAACAAGTCACTAAGATAATCCTTTGCAAACAGCCTTCCACAAACCAAGTCGCATTCTGCTAGTTGAACTCTAAACATTCTGCTAGCTGAACTCCAAACATTATGTTAGCTGAACTCCAAACAGTATGTTAGCTGAACTCCAAACATTCTGTTAGCTGAACTCCAAACATTATGTTAGTTGAACTCCAAACATTCTGTTAGCTGAACTCCAAACATTATATTAGCTGAACTCCAAACATTATGTTAGCTGAACTCCAAACATTATGTTAGCTGAACTCCAAACATTCTGTTAGCTGAACTCCAAACATTCTGTTAGCTGAACTCCAAACATTCTGTTAGCTGAACTCCAAAACAATCAGTGCAGTAAGTCACAGTCCTCAGTGAAAGCAGGCATGTCCGTATTTTTCAATGTTTGTATGGTTATGGTTTGACAAAATACCATTATATTGCCATGTTATCCCCCCACAACAACAGCAACAACATCAACAACAACACATCACCTGCAAGCCAGACAAACAATCCCTTCTAAAATACACATTGCACCTTGTCATGCCAACTGAGGCGTTAAAGAAGACAACAGGACTCCTCTGCCTACCTTGGACGGTTTCCCTCCTCTCTTGGTTGGAGAGGACAGATCTTGAGCCTGAAGGGAAAGGATCATAATTTCAGGTCAACATGACAAACTCATATAATAGAAGAATAATTCAACAGCTTATTCTGTTCCATCACATAACAGTTACAGTACTGTATATTTTACTACTGGCTTCTCAGTCATCTGCCTTGATGTTTTCTGTGTGTTGTGGACACCAGAGGCCTGGATGTTTTCTGACAACAGAGGCAAAGTGCAGACAGTACAGCACTGTCTAAGACAGACATAGATATATAGATCCTACATAAGACATACATAGAGCTATAGCAGGACTCTCCAACCCTGTTCCTGGAGATCTACCCTCCTGTTGGTTTTAACTCACCATGTTCCTGGAGATCTACCCTCCTGTAGGTTTTAACTCCAACCCTGTTCCTGGAGATCTACCCTCCTGTAGGTTTTAACTCCAACCATGTTCCTGGAGAGCACCCTCCAGGAACAGGGTTGGAGTTAAAACCTACATTTACATTTTAGTCATTTAGCAGACGCTCTTATCCAGAGCGACTTACAGTTAGTGAATGCATACGTTTTTTTGTTTTTTTTTGTTTTTCATACTGGCCCCCCGTGGGAAACGAACCCACATCCCTGCCGGCCAAACCCTCCCCTACCTTGGACGACGCTGGACCAATTGTGCGTCGCCCGGTCGCGGCCGGCTGCGACAGAGCCTGGACTCGAACCAGGATCTCTAGTGGCACAGCTAGCACTGCGATGCAGCGCCTTAGACCACTGAACCACTCGGGAGTCTGCGCCTACCTACAGGAGGGTAGATCTCCAGGAACAGGGTTGGAGAGTCCTGATCTATAGATCCTTGAGATAAGATGGACATAGTTCTATAGCTCATAGATAAGATACCCCTGTAACCTCAGGGCCAATGAGACGACACATCTCAGAGGAGCACTAACCGTTGACTCTGCAGCCGCTACCTTGGACAGATAGAGAGCAGATATGGCTCTGACAGAGACAGAAGCGTCCGGTTTCTCCCTGGCCGGGTTGGAGGAGGAGGAGCTGCCGTCTCTGAGGTCTGAGATCGACTTCCTCTTGTCATCTACGGAAACAGAGGGAGGGACAGACAGAGCTGGCGTCAGATGGAGGGTGAGTGGTGAGATCATGTGTTCAGCGCTCTACCTCTGAGAGGCTCCAGTCAGAGTGGCAGAACCTGAGATGGATACTGATGTGTGGGTATTGGAAGGTATTTATGTAAGTTGTTGTATTATACAATTCTTCAAGTTTTTTTTTGCACACACTTTCCCATTGATAGCTTACAAGACATTCTTAGCCGTGATGCACAGTAAATTCACACCAGTTTCTTCATTGTGATGATAGTTTATCTTAATGTACTGTATGCAGCCCTAACCTATACGTATCAGTCCACTCACAGAGTTTCTAAACCCAGAGGCGCAACATCGCGAGACTTCCGGGAACACTTGCGAAGCAGACCAATCAGACCAATCAGACCAATCAGACCAAACAGACCAATCAGACCAATCAGACCAAACAGACCAATCAGACCAATCAGACCAATCAGACCAATCAGACCAAACAGACCAATCAGACCAAACAGACCAAACAGACCAATCAGACCAATCAGACCAAACAGACCAATCAGACCAAACAGACCAAACAGACCAATCAGACCAAACAGACCAATCAGACCAATCAGACCAATCAGACCAATCAGACCAGGCTGGAGTTTGGGGTTTCAGAAGTCAATGAGAGAAGTGAAATATTCTTCCTTAGTTGTTAATTTTCTCCAAATCTAAAGGCAGAACCTGGATTGGAGCCAATGTCTTCAGTAATTGATCATGGTATTACTCCAACTTCCTGAAAGTGACAAACTGACACGTTTATATCGACGGACTGCCTTTGATTTGACGGCCTGTGCATGCGCAGTTCGGCGCGAGACAACCGTTAGACCCGATGACGTGTTTCTACGCATGAGCTTAGCTAGCCAACACAAGCCATGACATCGCCTACAAGTGTGATCGGGGATTTCTATTGGAGAAGCAGTTTCTGCCAATCTTCATATTGTAGTGTCTTTGGTCCACTTCTCACTCAGCGTGGACAGCTATATCATAATATGCTCTAGTGCAGAACACATCAGTATAAAAACTAGTGTTGCACGGTATACCAAAACTTTTTAGATACAAAAAAAAACCCAAAACGGTTATAGAATTTGTGTTACGTTCGGTACTTCTGCCAAATGTGTCTCACGTGATTGAGAGGATCAAGTGTGCCTATCAGAGCAGCCTCTTTATAGTGTGAAGAGCAAACAGCCTGCTCCACCTGGTCATTCACTGCTTTAGTCAGATTCCACAGCCACAAAGTCAGATTCCACAGCCACAAAGTCAGATTCCACAGCCACAAAGTCAGATTCCACAGCCACAAAGTCAGATTCCACAGCCACAAAGTCAGATTCCACAGCCACAAAGTCCAGATTCCACAGCCACAAAGTCCGATTCCACAGCCACAAAGTCCGATTCCACAGCCAAAGTCAGATTCCACAGCCACAAAGTCAGATTTCACAGCAACAAAGTCCAAGGATTCCACAGCCACAAAGTCAGATTCCACAGCCACAGTCAGATTCCACAGCCACAAAGTCAGATTCCGCAGCCACAAAGTCAGATTCCACAGCCACAAAGTCAGGTTCCACAGCCACAAAATCAGATTCCACAGCCACAAAGTCAGATTCCACAGCCACAAAGTCAGATTCCACAGCCACAAAGTCAGATTTCACAGCCACAAAGTCAGATTCCACAGCCACAAAGTCCGATTCCACAGCCACAAAGTCCGATTCCACAGCCACAAAGTCAGATTCCACAGCCACAAAGTCAGATTTCACAGCCACAAAGTCAGATTCCACAGCCACAAAGTCAGATTCCACAGCCACAGTCAGATTCCACAGCCACAAAGTCAGATTCCGCAGCCACAAAGTCAGATTCCACAGCCACAAAGTCAGGTTCCACAGCCACAAAATCAGATTCCACAGCCAACAAAGTCAGATTCCACAGCCACAAAGTCAGATTCCACAGCCACAAAGTCAGATTCCACAGCCACAAAGTCAGATTCCACAGCCACATTCTGCCTCAAGAATGAAGTCATTAATTTCTTAAAGACACAGCGCACACTTTTCGAAAAGAAGAGACTGCTTCTTCTATGAAAATGTTGTAGAGTCTATAGAATAATCAGGGCCTTGTGATTCACACAGTAGAGTCTATAGAAGAATCAGGGCCTTGTGATTCACACAGTAGAGTCTATAGAAGAATCAGGGCCTTGTGATTCACACAGTAGAGTCTATAGAAGAATCAGGGCTTTGTGATTCACACAGTAGAGTCTATAGAAGAATCAGGGCTTTGTGATTCACACAGAGTCTATAGAAGAATCAGGGCTTTGTGATTCACACAGTAGAGTCTATAGAAGAATCAGGGCTTTGTGATTCACACAGTAGAGTCTATAGAAGAATCAGGGCTTTGTGATTCACACAGAGTCTATAGAAGAATCAGGGCCTTGTGATTCACACAGTAGAGTCTATAGAAGAATCAGGGCTTTGTGATTCACACAGTAGTCTATAGAAGAATCAGGGCCTTGTGATTCACACAGTAGTCTATAGAAGAATCAGGGCCTTGTGATTCACACAGTTGAGTCTATAGAAGAATCAGGGCCTTGTGATTCACACAGTAGAGTCTATAGAAGAATCAGGGCTTTGTGATTCACACAGAGTCTATAGAAGAATCAGGGCTTGTGATTCACACAGTAGAGTCTATAGAAGAATCAGGGCTTTGTGATTCACACAGTTGAGTCTATAGAAGAATCTCACCTCACTTCAGCTTATAAAAACCCAAAGACAACATAGACAACATGCTATCTGACTGATTCCACAACGCATGTCATTCTGACTGCTACAGTATCTCGAAGTTAGAGTCACAGCACGTCTCATTAACATGGTACGAAGACCAATAGGATAACAGAGGAGAGAGCTAGAGGGAGGCCTCTCTAGGAAAGACTGGCGGAGTTTACCCTTTTAATGGTTCAGACAGTATCACATAGGTTTTTGAAATACATTAAGTGCCTTCAGAAAGTATTCATACCCCTTGACTTATTCCACATTTTGTTGTTGTTACAGCCTGAATTCTCACCCATCTACACACAATACCCCATATTGACAAAGTGAAAATATGTTTTTAGATATTCTTGTAAATGTATTGAAAATGAAATACCGAAATATCTCATTTACATCAGTATTCCCACCCCGAGTCAATGCATGTTAGAATCACCAGTCTTTCTGTAGTTCTACTGTAGTAACATTATTTTATCACAATGAACGAGTTTTAAATCAGTGGTGTGTATTAATGGATGCCAAGGGAAGCCAGGCTTCACTTTAAAAAAAATGGACCAAGAAAGAAATTAAAAAACATAAATTAATTCATCTTTCGTCTCTCTGTGTTTTAATAATTTTCCTTCAAGGCTGAATGTATCTCACAGGAGAAAGCATCCGAGCGAGCGAAACAGCGCCCCTCTGTCTCTCTACATGTACAGTGAGGGAAAAAAGTATTTGATCCCCTGCTGGTTTTGTACGTTTGCCCACTGACAAAGACATGATCAGTCTATAATTTTAATGGTATGTTTATTTGAACAGTGAGAGACAGAATAACAACAAAAAAATCCAGAAAAACGCATGTCAAAAATTTTATAAATTGATTTGCATTGGGGCAGGTAGCATTCTCCTGGCATTCGCCAGATGGTGAAGTGTGATTCATCACTTCAGAGAACGTGTTTCCACTGCTCCAGAGTCCAATGGCGGAGAGCTTTACACCACTCCAGCCGATGCTTGGCATTGCGCATGGTGATCTTAGGCTTGTGTGCGGCTGCTCGGCCATGGAAACCCATTTCATGAAGCTCCCAACGAACAGTTCTTGTGCTGATGTTGCTTCCAGTGGCCGTTTGGAACTCTAAACTTTTAAGCGCTACGTGCTTCAGCACTCGGCGGTCCCGTTCTGTGAGCTTGTGTGGTCTACCACTTTTTGGCTGAGCCGTTGTTGCTCCTAGACGTTTCCACTTCACAATAACAACACTTACAGTTGACCGGGGCAGCTCTAGTAGGGCAGAAATTTGACAAACTGACTAGTTGGAAAGGTGGCATCCTATGACGGTGCCAGTAAGTCCATTCTCCTGCCACTGTTTGTCTATGGAGTTTGAATGGCTGTGTGCTTGATTTTATACACCTGTCAGCAATGTATGTGGCTGAAATAGACGAATCCAGTAATTTGAAGGGGTGTCCACATACTTTACTGTATCTACACTATATATACACAAAAAGGTTGACTGTTGTGGAGATCTGTATGACCTGAGTACAGTATATAATCTTGTACATTACTGATGAAATGTAAATCACATGATATGATGACTAGAACAGTGCTGTAGTTACTCACCATCCTGAGATGCTGTAGATATCTTGTCCAGATTGACACCACTGATGGTCTTCCTCCTCTCTGAGCGAGTCATACTCCCCACCTACAGACATGACAGTGTTAGGATGATGTCACTGCTAATCACCAGACATGATACAGTATATTAGCAGTAGAACTGCAGTAGAACCATGGTTACTGTAATAACACCATGGTTACTGGAATAACACCATGGTTACTGGAATAATACCATGGTTACTGGAATAATACCATGGTTACTGGAATAACACCATGGACACTGTCCTCTGCTAGCCAAATTAACCCAGTAAAGTGATTCATCAATACACATGCACCTTTAGATTGGCTAACCTCCACACACTCACCTGTAGACCAGTGTCGGTCTGTGCCGTTTATGATCAGGGAAGATGATACATTTTTTTATGAGCATGGCCTTATTTCTATTTTGGCATATTGGATGACTGTCATTCATATTCCATTCACCCAGTTCAATGTAACATGGATAGGTTTAGGCTACTACATGATACTCACATTTTCCCTGTACCCATCACGAGGTTGCTACAACCTAGCCTATGAATTAAAGTTTACAACGTAGGTGCACAGGTTGAGATAATTATTTTAGTAATGAAGGTGACAGACAGTTACACATTCAATACCGCCTTGCACACTCTGGCCTGCATCTAGCTGACCTAGGGTGTAATCATTAGTCCAACTGTTGCAAACTAGAGTTTCTATTGGACAAATTCTGGTATGTTTATCCCAGTTTGCTTCCGTTTAAGAATTTTTTTTCAACAGAATCCGGAATGAATACACCCCGGATCACCCGCAAACACAGCTCACATTCTTAGCAGCCTGTTACGGATACAGGGTCTCATGTTCATCCACCCTAGACGTTTAAAGCCACGGGGTTCGTAACACAGCCACATACAAACAGCATGATCACTTTGCTCATTCTATAATTCCTTCTCGCGTCTATGCGCTCTCCTCCTATCACCTTTTCCCTTTGCTTGTGAACTTCATTGCACAACACAACTGTCTGTGACCAGGCGAATACAGCTTTTCAAGCCAAACCTTCATACCATAACCGCTACACACAGCCTACATCGTTGTCACCATATTAGCTAGCTAACGTCATAGTCAGCATAGCGTCTAGAAGTAACGCGTTAGTAAACCCGTTACGATCATGCAGTACAGCGTACACCAAGCAGATTAGCAGTTACACCGGCGGGCCCCGGTGGCAATAAATTAATAAAACCAAAAGCTTACCTTGACTTGGAAGAGTTCCAGTGTTGAATAGCCATAGGCAGCTAGCTAACATGGCATCCCTCTCTGTTTGAGCCGGGTGTTTAAGTAGGCTAAACTAGCTAGCTGCATTTGCTAGCTAGCGAGCGCTCTCTCTTGCTTCTCCTTCATTTTTTAAAGAAATGAATTTGTTCTAAACTGTTCAACTACTCTTTCTCTCTCTTTGAGTCAACAACCCCTTAGGTACTACTGTGGTACTTTCACTGATACCACGGTATAGTCTGAATCATGGAAATGTACCAAGGTTTTAGCCTTGAAGTATGAGGGTACTACCATGGTACTGCCACGCACCTAAATAATTCAATGGTATTGCATCATTTATACCATGGTAGATGTGGATCATGGAAATACCATGGTTTTAACCTGCATTATACATTCTAACATGGTACCAATAATGATCATATGGTACCAATAATGATCATATGGTACCAATAATGTTCATATGGTACCATCTTTATTAATTGTGCGTTACCATAGTACTATGGCAGTATAATGCATTAAATAAATTAACCCCCCAAGGTCAACAGAGGTTGGTTGGTATTATATTGATGAATGTATATACCAGTATGGGAATGTTTCTGATAAGGTCAGAGGCAGGCTACTATTGTTGGTCCCAGTTGGTCAGTCCCCTGTAGCTCAGTTGGTAGAGCATAGCGCTTGCAACGCCAGGGTTGTGGGTTCGTTTCCCACGGGGGGCCAGTATGAAAATGTATGCACTCACTAACTGTAAGTTGCTCTGGATAAGAGCGTCTGCTAAATGACTAAAAAGGTAAAGAAAATATTTTAAACATTAGGAAACACCAAGTTAAGCGGAGTGTAATGATACAGTTATTTTTTTATGTTATGATAGTTTAAATTTCTAAGTCTGTTAGGATAGAAGCTAACATCAGCTAAAGTTAGCTCCAGTCAAGCTAGCCTGTTGTAGTCATGGCGACAGGACCAACGAACGTTCACACAGTGTAAACAAAGGGAAACATTGTAACTAACTGTTTTTAGGGATATGTTGACAATTACATGATGAAAATGTATCTATGAGATTTATTTTTTATTTATTTTATTTCACCTTTATTTAACCAGGTAAACCAGTTGAGAACAAGTTCTCATTTACAACTGCGACCTGGCCAAGATAAAGCAAAGCAGATAAGATGATAATTAATACCTTTTTTAGAATTGTTTTTTTTTAGTATATTGGCTATTTAGAATTGTATAAGTGTAGCCAAGTCAGTTGAATGAGTGAGAGCCAACAAAAAAGTGTATTGAAGAGAGAAGCACCAACTAAACAAACTATTTTAAATCTTCAAGGTTTCAGACTCCCTTCATTCTTCTCACCATACCCTATCCAGGTCCCAGGGTTGAAGAGGGTTCACTACTAGACCATGTGTGTTGTGGTTTTTCACTGAGTTAAAGAGGTTGAAGAGGGTACTAGGCCTATGCTTTGCCATTGCAGAGCGAGTAGTCAATGTTGCATTATGTGAATACTATAAATTACTACGTTTTTGGTCACTTTACCCGAAAAAACGGTGGGACACAGACCATCATGTTTCACTACATGCTGCTAGGACAAAACCATGGTATTTTGATTTTATTCATGGTACATTTTTGTAAGGGCTGCAGTGCTAACTAGCTAGCTAGCTAGCTGTAGCTTATGCTTTCAGTACTAGATTCATTCTCTGATCCTTTGATTGAGTGGACAACTTGTATATAGCCTCGTTATTGCTATTTTATTGTATAACTATTTTTCCTTTAGTTTATTTAGCACATTTTTCTATTTTTTTCCCTTCTTTTTTTACTATATTTTTAAGTAAGCATTTCTTGTTATGCTCCTTCTTTTACACTATTGTTGGAAGAGGTTCATGGATGAACTCCTTCGGAGCTGCCATTCTGTCATGCACTGAAGGCTGGAGAACATGCTTGCGAAGTTTCAAAATCGGTATCTAGGAAGGGGGTGTTGAGAATCTCAAACATAAATCTCTTGGTTGTATTGAGTAACACTTGATGGTATGGAAATATGCCTCGGCTACACCGTGTGTACCCTGAGTTGCTTTGAGCTACTAAATGCTTCATTGAAAAATATAGAAAAACTATATGTGTGCAGTCCAAACTTTGATGTACTGAGTTTATCTCAAATACCATAACTTTTAATTTCATAGGTTTTTTTAGTAAATGCATCGAGTGAACTTCGCCATGAAAATGCGATTTGATCTTTGATTTTTGGCTAGGAACACACCTACCATGACGTACTGGTGTGACATGACAGTTAGTTAACTTTTTTTTCGGCCCCTGAGGAACGAACCCACAACTGGCTTCCGCCTCTATACTGAGAGCGGCATTCCTACCTGGGCAATTGTCGCGCCATGAGTCTCCGGTGCGCGGCTGCGAAGGCGATGAACCAACAGTGGACGTGGGCGATGATGGAAAACTCAGCCCTGTATAGTGACTAACTATAACTAAGGGCTCGAAGTATTCCATCCAAGGCAAAGGGGGCTGTTGAGAATCTCAACATAAATTATTTTTTTTGTAACACATTTTTGGTTACTACATTATTCCATATGTTGTTATTCATCGTTTGATGTATGCACTCATGTATTCTATCTACAATGTAAAAAAAAAAATTAAAATAAGAAAAAACCCTTGAATGAGTAAGGTGTGGTCCAAACTTTTGACTGGTACTGTACATATTACCTCAATTACCTCACCATTGTTGGTTAAGGGCTCGTAAGTAAGCATTTCACGGTGCATATGACAAATAAAATGTGATTTGATTGGTTTGATTTGTTTGGCTAAGGAACACACCCTCACCTGTCTAGCTGGTGGTGCAGGTGATGGTACAGCTGTCAGTGACCCTTTCTCCTCTATAGGTCTCTTTCTCTCCTCCACCAACCCGTTGACGGCTGGGGCCGCAGCTGCCATCTTGGGACGCGGTGGTGTTTGGCCTACAGCTCCCATGATGCTCTTCACCTCCCCCTTGGTGACCTTTGACTCAAAGAGAGCCTTCAGGGCTCCGATCCCCCCGGCCGGGTCGGCTCTGGGAGAGGGGCCAGGGAGACTGGACATGGACTCACTGCGGGAGAGACTGGTCGACCTCTGGGACTTCTCCCTTGACAGGCTGGTCGACCTCTGGGACTTCTCCCTTGACAGGCTGGTCGACCTCTGGGACTTCTCCCTTGACAGGCTGGTCGACCTCTGGGACTTCTCCCTTGACAGGCTGGTCGACCCGCAGGTCTTCTCCCTCACTTCAGACACACTGGGCTGGATCCTGGTCTTCTCTCCATTGTTTCTCATCAGGGACTCCAGCTTTGTTTTCTCACTGACGGATGAGAAGGAGGACTGATGCTGGGTTCTCTGGTGGAAAAATAATCAGAAGAAGACAGATGGACAGATCAGTGTCCATCCTGAGGAAGTCGACAATCAGACATCGATGACATGAAATATGGTGTGATGTTTCACCTCAGTCCTGTGCTCCACATGGTTCGGAGTGGGGACCTCCACTGAAGGGCTGGCTTGGTATCTGTTATGTGAACAAGACAAATCCTTCATAAATACTCTGTAAGCTAATTCACCAAAACAAACATTGCAATGCTCAAGCAATTCGGAGTGAGATTAAGTTTACCCCGGACAGTGATATGTCAGTTTAGCTTTTCCATCAGCTACTGGTTAAGGCTAGGATTTAAGAAAAGTCAGCTGATCCTAGATATGTACCTATGGAGGTTGTCATTGAGCCAGAGAGTTAAAAGCGGGGTCAGAGACAATTTACATTTTAAGTCAGTCAATTCAGTAAGTGACAAAAAAAAAAAAAAAAAGGTAAAACGTTTTTAAATGAATAGTTTCTCCTCTTCGGTTTATTGTTAAGTCATTGAAAATAAAATAAATGTTTTCATTGTAATTTCAGTTTACTTCCTGAATTGACTGACTTCAGTTGGAATGGACTCAACCTGGTGCCTGTGGAGCTTGTAATTGAGTTAGTGGTTAAATGGTAAAGGTCATGGTTCCTCTCACCTGGTCTGAGATACGGAGGAGATGGACTTCATCCTGTCCCTAAACCCCGCCTCCGCCCAGGTGGGCTTGTCTCCGTCAGCCGTAGAGACGCTCCGTAGAGATTGAGCACGCCTCAGAACACTCCTCCCCTCCATTGCCGATGATGATGTCACAGCACCCCTTAATGATGTCACAGCACCCCTCAAAACACAGGACACCAAACCTCAACACCTGATTGACAGGGAAGAGTCAGCTGTCGAAGATAGCACGCCTTGTTGAAGGGGGACAGAGTCTCACACGAGAGGAATCAGTCTCCATCCACCAGAGCAGTGAGAATACGATACACTACAGGATTTTCTAACTCTACTGGGATCTTGTTACTATTGATGCGCAACGTAACCCACAAAGACCAAACAACGGCTCTCCACTTTACATCATTTGGAATGATTAAGGGACCGGCGCATTCAGACACCCAGCAGAGTTCAGCAGTGGAGTGAAACCCTTCCAGTCATCGAAACAGATCAAAATGCAGATAGTTGTTTGTCCATTGATTCAACAAGGATTTGTTATTGTACATCACATTACTCAAAATCAGACAATTATTATCAATCTACCCGTTTACCTTTAGTGAAGTCTGCAGGTCGTCTCTCCTTGTCACGGTCAGAGGAGCGTCGAGCTTATCACAAGACTCACGTTACGTACTGCTTCAGACCAGTGTCTCGGACCAAAGTCCTCTTTCCTTCCTTATTACACCTGACTACACAGAATCTGATCTGAGAATGTTTACAGATATACGTTTACAGCACAGATGTGATCTCTGCAGTCCAAATAAAAGCTACACCAGGGCTTCCTCTTTTTATGACAATCATTTCACCTTAATACATGTACTATCATGGACTATGGTATTTTGTGTCAAAAGTAGAGTTGTGGAGACTGTGGCTCAAATGAGAGGTGTTTAAGCACACATTGGGACACTGTCCTGTACAGTTCCAGAGATTTACTGGGGTAGGGTGGCCAGGACGGTTGGAGAGGCAGTTCCAGAGATTTACTGGGGTAGGAGAACCAGGACGGTTGGAGAGGCAGTTCCAGAGATTTACTGGGATAGGGTGACCAGGACGGTTGGAGAGGCAGTTCCAGAGATTTACTGGGGTAGGGTGGCCAGGACGGTTGGAGAGGCAGTTCCAGAGATTTACTGGGGTAGGGTGGCCAGGACGGTTGGAGAGGCAGTTCCGTGTCACGGCCTTGGACCCTTCTCTCTCTCTTCTGAAGGAGAAGGTATGAATGAGGTTAGCTTTAAATGTGCTCTCTGTCACACTATCTCACTCTAACCCTTTGGCCCTATGTCCTGAGGACAGTACTAATTAACCTTCTAGTTATTATATGGAATGGAACTACAGGGCAGAACAGGGACCCTACAGAGTAATGGTTAATCTGGTGTCACAACAAACACATCTGACTTCACATTATTACTGCCGGGTTATTTCCTGCTGGGAGAGTTAGTCTCTGTAGCTACCACTCCTATGGTGTAGACTCTAGTCTCTGTAGCTACCACTCCTATGGTATAGACTCTAGTCTCTGTAGCTACCACTCCTATGGTATAGACTCTAGTCTCTGTAGCTACCACTCCTATGGTGTAGACTCTAGTCTCTGTAGCTACCACTCCTATGGTGTAGACTCTAGTCTCTGTAGCTACCACTCCTATGGTGTACACTCTAGTCTCTGTATCTACCACTCCTATGGTGTAGACTCTAGTCTCTGTAGCTACCACTCCTATGGTGTAGACTCTAGTCTCTGTAGCTACCACTCCTATGGTGTAGACTCTAGTCTCTGTAGCTACCACTCCTATGGTGTAGACTCTAGTCTATGTAGCTACCACTCCTATGGTGTAGACTCTAGTCTCTGTATCTACCACTCCTATGGTGTAGACTCTAGTCTCTGTAGCTACCACTCCTATGGTGTAGACTCTAGTCTCTGTATCTACCACTCCTATGGTGTAGACTCTAGTCTCTGTAGCTACCACTCTATTATAGACTCTAGTCTCTGTATCTACCACTCCTATGGTGTAGACTCTAGTCTCTGTAGCTACCACTCCTATGGTGTAGACTCTAGTCTCTGTAGCTACCACTCCTATGGTGTAGACTCTAGTCTCTGTAGCTACCACTCCTATGGTGTAGACTCTAGTCTCTGTAGCTACCACTCCTATGGTGTAGACTCTAGTCTCTGTAGCTACCACTCCTATGACGTAGACTCTAGTCTATGTAGCTGCCACTCCTATGGTGTAGACTCTAGTCTCTGTATCTACCACTCCTATGGTGTAGACTCTAGTCTCTGTATCTACCACTCCTATGGTGTAGACTCTAGTCTCTGTAGCTACCACTCCTATGGTGTAGACTCTAGTCTCTGTAGCTACCACTCCTATGGTGTAGACTCTAGTCTCTGTATCTACCACTCCTATGGTGTAGACTCTAGTCTCTGTAGCTACCACTCCTATGGTGTAGACTCTAGTCTCTGTATCTACCACTCCTATGGTGTAGACTCTAGTCTCTGTATCTACCACTCCTATGGTGTAGACTCTAGTCTCTGTAGCTACCACTCCTATGGTGTAGACTCTAGTCTCTGTATCTACCACTCCTATGGTGTAGACTCTAGTCTCTGTAGCTACCACTCCTATGGTGTAGACTCTAGTCTCTGTAGCTACCACTCCTATGGTGTAGACTCTAGTCTCTGTAGCTACCACTCCTATGGTGTAGACTCTAGTCTCTGTAGCTACCACTCTATTATAGACTCTAGTCTCTGTAGCTACCACTCCTATGGTGTAGACTCTAGTCTCTGTATCTACCACTCCTATGGTGTAGACTCTAGTCTCTGTAGCTACCACTCCTATGGTGTAGACTCTAGTCTCTGTAGCTACCACTCCTATGGTGTAGACTCTAGTCTCTGTAGCTACCACTCTATTATAGACTCTAGTCTCTGTAGCTACCACTCCTATGGTGTAGACTCTAGTCTCTGTAGCTACCACTCCTATGGTGTAGACTCTAGTCTCTGTAGCTACCACTCCTATGGTGTAGACTCTAGTCTCTGTAGCTACCACTCTTATGGTGTAGACTCTAGTCTCTGTAGCTACCACTCCTATGGTGTAGACTCTAGTCTATGTAGCTACCACTCCTATGGTGTAGACTCTAGTCTCTGTAGCTACCACTCTATTATTGACTCTAGTCTCTGTAGCTACCACTCCTATGGTGTAGACTCTAGTCTATGTAGCTACCACTCCTATGGTGTAGACTCTAGTCTCTGTAGCTACCACTCCTATGGTGTAGACTCTAGTCTCTGTAGCTACCACTCTATTATAGACTCTAGTCTCTGTAGCTACCACTCCTATGGTGTAGACTCTAGTCTCTGTATCTACCACTCCTATGGTGTAGACTCTAGTCTCTGTAGCTACCACTCCTATGGTGTAGACTCTAGTCTCTGTAGCTACCACTCCTATGGTGTAGACTCTAGTCTCTGTAGCTACCACTCTATTATAGACTCTAGTCTCTGTATCTACCACTCCTTTGGTGTAGACTCTAGTCTCTGTAGCTACCACTCCTATGGTGTAGACTCTAGTATCTGTAGCTACCACTCCTATGGTGTAGACTCTAGTCTCTGTAGCTACCACTCCTATGGTGTAGACTCTAGTCTCTGTAGCTACCACTCCTATGGTGTAGACTCTAGTCTCTGTAGCTACCACTCCTATGGTGTAGACTCTAGTCTCTGTAGCTACCACTCTATTATAGACTCTAGTCTCTGTAGCTACCACTCCTATGGTGTAGACTCTAGTCTCTGTAGCTACCACTCCTATGGTGTAGACTCTAGTCTCTGTAGCTACCACTCCTATGGTGTAGACTCTAGTCTCTGTAGCTACCACTCCTATGGTATAGACTCTAGTCTCTGTAGCTACCACTCTATTATAGACTCTAGTCTCTGTAGCTACCACTCCTATGGTGTAGAATCTAGTCTCTGTATCTACCACTCCTATGGTGTAGACTCTAGTCTCTGTAGCTACCACTCCTATGGTGTAGACTCTAGTCTCTGTATCTACCACTCCTATGGTGTAGACTCTAGTCTCTGTAGCTACCACTCCTATGGGTGTAGACTCTAGTCTCTGTAGCTACCACTCCTATGGTGTAGACTCTAGTCTCTGTAGCTACCACTCTATTATAGACTCTAGTCTCTGTAGCTACCACTCCTATGGTGTAGACTCTAGTCTCTGTAGCTACCACTCCTATGGTGTAGACTCTAGTCTCTGTAGCTACCACTCCTATGGTGTAGACTCTAGTCTCTGTAGCTACCACTCCTATGGTATAGACTCTAGTCTCTGTAGCTACCACTCTATTATAGACTCTAGTCTCTGTAGCTACCACTCCTATGGGGTAGAATCTAGTCTCTGTATCTACCACTCCTATGGTGTAGACTCTAGTCTCTGTAGCTACCACTCCTATGGTGTAGACTCTAGTCTCTGTAGCTACCACTCCTATGGTGTAGACTCTAGTCTCTGTAGCTACCACTCTATTATAGACTCTAGTCTCTGTATCTACCACTCCTATGGTGTAGACTCTAGTCTCTGTAACTACCACTTTATTATAGACTCTAGTCTCTGTAGCTACCACTCCTATGGTGTAGACTCTAGTCTCTGTAGCTACCACTCCTATGGTGTAGACTCTAGTCTCTGTAGCTACCACTCCTATGGTGTAGACTCTAGTCTCTGTAGCTACCACTCCTATGGTATAGACTCTAGTCTCTGTAGCTACCACTCCTATGGTGTAGACTCTAGTCTCTGTAGCTACCACTCCTATGGTGTAGACTCTAGTCTCTGTAGCTACCACTCCTATGGTGTAGACTCTAGTCTCTGTAGCTACCACTCCTATGGTGTAGACTCTAGTCTCTGTAGCTACCACTCCTATGGTGTAGACTCTAGTCTCTGTAGCTACCACTCCTATGGTGTAGACTCTAGTCTCTGTAGCTACCACTCCTATGTTATAGACTCTAGTCTCTGTAGCTACCACTCCTATGGTGTAGACTCTAGTCTCTGTAGCTACCACTCCTATGGTGTAGACTCTAGTCTCTGTAGCTACCACTCCTATGGTGTAGACTCTAGTCTCTGTAGCTACCACTC